CGGATGGATGGATAGACGGATGGATGGATACACGGATAGATGGATACACGGATGGATGGATAGACGGATGGATGGATAGACAGATGGATCGATAGACAGATGGATAGACCGATGGATAGACAAATAGACCTACCGATAGATAGATGGATAGGCAGATAGACCGACCGATAGATAGACAGATGGATAGACCGACCGATATATAGATGGAAAGACCGACCGATATATAGATGGATAGATAGATAGATGTATTTAACAAAGAGATAGAGAGAGAGAGAGAATGGGGAGGGTGAATGTAAGCGAAAGATTGCTACTAGGGAGAACGAACTGCCTACAAAGGCAATCTCGTCCAAGAGAAAATGGGAAAGATATCGCATGAAGCAAGCTAGCACACATAAACAAACACAGACAGACATAGAGACACAGAAGACAGGACAGTATACACACCAAACACAGACAGACATAGAGACACAGAAGACAGGACAGTATACACACCAAACACAGATATAGAGACACAGAGGAAAGGACATTATACACACCAAACAGACAGACATAGGGACCCAGAGGACATGACAGTATATACACCAAACACAGAAAGAAAGACATAGAGACACAGAGGAAAGGACAGTTTATACACCAAACACAGACAAACATAGAATCACAGAGGACAGGACAGTATACACATAACACAGACAGACATACAGACACAGAAGACAGGACATGACAGTATACGCACAACACAGACAGACATAGAGACACAGAAGACAGGACAGGACTGTATACACACAACACAGACAGACATAGAAACACAGAAGACAGAACAGGACAGTATACACACAACACAGACAGACATAGAGACACAGAAGACAGGACAGGACAGTATACACACAACACAGACAGACATAGAGACACAGAAGACAGGACAGGACTGTATACACACAACACAGACAGACATAGAAACACAGAAGATAGGACAGGACAGTATACACACAACACAGACAGACATAGAGACACACAGGACAGGACATATTCACACTGCCAGTGGCCAGCAACAGGGTACGCGTGCAAGACGACGTAACAAGCAGGGGTGCTGGAAAATGGGCGCTGTGGTACAGGGGTCTCCAAACAAGTTGGCGCGGGCACCCCTCCCCAAAAATCAAAGAAGTGTTAGACAGAAATGTGTGTGTGTGTGTCTAGGCGTGTGTTTGTGCGAGCGCGCTTGCTTGAGCCTGTGTGTTTATGTGTGTGTGTGTGTGTGTGTGTGTGTGTGTACGTACGTGCATGCGTGTATGTATGTAAACAACATACACCCAATACGCCTAAGGGTGTCGTAAATGTGTCTTATCCTTTTTTATGCACCTAAACAAGGCTTACGTTCCTTTAGAGACCCCGCTCTGAAATGTGTAAGTGCGCTGAGCAGCGACTTCCCAACTCTGTTGTGTGTGTGGTCGACGCCCTCTGCTTCAAGTGAGCAGACAACATCATAGGATGGGGCGTTACAGCTGACTGATGCAGCGACGGCACTTGAAAGGTTGATGCTGACCCCGCTGGGATGTCTACCTCCCGCCTTATACGGCCTGCGGTTTGACAGAGTGCTAACACAAGGAACGTTGGTTAAGGATGGAAGGTGGGGGGGGGGGGGGGGGAGGGGGGGCGATCGTTTGTAAGTGTCTAGAGGCTTGGGCTTATGTCTTGTTTAGGAGCGCAATAATAATAGTAGTATTACTTAGTATTATCAGCAGTAGTAGTAATAGCAGAAGCAGCAAAGCAGTAGTAGTAGTAGAAGTAAAATGTGCTTAATGGCAAGTAAATACAATAAAATGTGTTAATAAAATTTAACATACAGCATAACCTGGTATACATTCGCTTTTACATACGTTTAACCTGGTATAGTCTCGTCTAGAAGCGAAATCGTTTGCTTGGTATAAAATATTTGTTTAGAATACAATCTTACGTGAGTCAGAATTAGTCACAACACCGCGCGCTACCTTCGTTTACCTTTCTGGAGACAGGGCCACAGAAAGATGTCAATGACACCCCAGAAAAGCCCAAACA